ACCATAGGAAGATTCCTGGATATTTCCCTGTGTAAAAGCCATGCGGTACCCTTATAGGTGGGAATGCTTCAGAAATTAGTAACTTGGCAAACAGACAGATGTATATCAGCACTTTTCATAGGAACAATTCTAATTTAATTAACTGAGAAAGTCCACAGATTCCGATCCCTCTTCCATAATTCTCAGTTCTCCTCTCCTGGCAACTGTCAATTCTTTGTTATTTTTTCTGAAACCAAGTGGATACTTTATCAAAGGTGTTAGCAGAGGGATGCCAATTCAACTACAGAGCAAACTACACAATATACAGAGATATAAGTATTTCTGAATTCTGCAATACTCTGGGCTGCTTATTTTGTTAACCTCTTTCTTATCTCACAATATAAAGCAAGATTAGTCAGTCACTTATACAACTTCCTTGTAGGAAAGCCAATATCCCAGCATTATAGATAACATACTTTAATTGTGCACATTACCATGGACACTGGGTAAGTTAGGTTTTTTTTCTTTAATGCACAGGCTATAACATCTGTTTCTGGGTGGTAGTCAGTCAGATCCAGCTATGTCTATGTCTCCCTTAGGCATGAAAGCCCGCTGGGTGACTATGGGCCAGTCATTCTCTCTCAGCCCAACCCACCTCACAGGGTTGTCGATCTGGGAAAAATAGAGGTGGGAGCATTAGGTTTGTTTGCTGCCTTGATATACTGTATATAGTGGAATAAAAATAATAACAACAACCCCCTGTGAGGCAGTACCTTGACGTGGTTGTGAGGCTTGTGTGCACCAAGGAGGATGAGAGCTATGCCACAGATTCAACCATACTGGTCTCATCAGAGGAGCCAGACAAAGAATGTCTCTCCCATAAACGATATGGTGAGATGTAATTTACAGAAACCCATACCAGGTCAGTCGTCACCCGGGTCAACAAGGAACGTGCTAGGTGTTCTAGTTCCTGGACATCTGGTGACAAGTGGGCTACAGGACTCAGAACTGTTGGCTGAGCAACCAGGACCAGCACTGCAAAACTACTGAAGAAAAGTTGTTTACCCGTCGCAAATATACAAAGACTGAAAACAAAGGAATAATGTTCTGCTATTACAAATTAAGTCCAACAAAAAGAGGATATCTGAAAAGAATGCAGTTCTGGAAAGAACAACATCCATAATCAGAAATAACAGAACAGAGGCTAGCAGATCAACTTTGATTTATAAAACAAAATAAAATATTCATAGAAGTAGAATTGGAAGAGCTGAGAAGGGCAAAGAAATCAAAGCCTTGCCAGAAGTAGCTCAGACAGAAGAGACTTCTCCTCAGAAAAAACAAAGCCCTCTAACTAAAAAACAAGAGGAATTGAAATAAAGAATAACTGAGCATCTAGAACAGTGCAAAAGGAACAGAATAAGGTTGCCCGCATTGAAGCTTGTTACAAAGAAAAAGCTAGCACAAGTATTAAATGTTGCCAACACTGTAATCTCCAATATAAGCACCAGCTCACTGCAAGAAACAAATCAACTGATGCACAGCACAGCTGCAGTTATAAGTGAATATCTTGGATGCAAAATCAACAAACAAGAAAAAAAAGCCAAACAGCGCACCACCAAAATGGAAGAT